GCATTTGTAGGGGCGGTTCCCAGACTGCCCCTACAATTCGATTTGTAGGGGCAGCTGTAGTACCAGCCGCCCCTATAATACCTGTTTGTAGGGGCGGTTCAATCTAGAACCGCCCCTACAGTACGTTTTCCCGTAAAAAAATTTCAAATTTACAATTCAAATTCGACCAGAACCGCCCTGTTTGTTTCCGCGTATTCCCGCGTTCGCGTTGCGAGTGAGCGATCAACGTTCCGAACCGCGTTCGCTCAACGTCCTGCCGAACGCCCCGCGACCAACGTTCCGAACCGCGTTCGCTCAAGAGTATTATGTAAACTACAAGCACAAGAGTCCATACACATTAAATAGACATAATTCACATGGTTCAAATTCACAAGAGTCCATACACTACAATTACAAGTCCAATTCACAAGAATATATACAATCCATCATTAAATAGACATAATTCACAAGGTAAAACCAATGTCAAATTCCATATACATTGTTATCAATGTCCTAGAGATAGTCTTTCAGTCTCACGAAGGTGTTGGTACTGAGGATTTCTACCTAAGTTAGACTCTTGGTCATGGTAGGTGCCTTTGACGTATACAATTTGGTCCAATATGAAGTTGCAAAGGTCGCCGATGAGCTCTAAGAGTTGGTCATCCTTGTATGGGTCTATTTTCATTTCTTTCTCTTCTTTCCAATGCAAGAGAACAAGTTTTGGTTTAGTATTTCATACCATGTATGAAGTTTTTATACTACGGTTGAAGAGGTTCAAACTTACCCTTAAGGGGTGTCTCCTGTAGGCACCGGTGTTACTCATCATAGAACATACATATTATCCACAATGTACACTCCCAGGCTTCTACTTGGGGCACTGTGTGTTTTGCATATGGAAATGTTAAGTAATGCTTTTGACAGCCATGTAATGGAGTACTGAAGAAGTAAGTTACACTTACCACACATAGTGTTTTTATAGATAGCTTTTCCTTTCTTACTGGATCATGCCTTCCGTGATGTTTAGTGACATAGAACCTAAATGCCCTGTTTGAATTATTTTAGCAAATACAACTTGTTAGTATCCAAAAGTGAATGTTACAAGTATGTATACAAACATATAAGCTAATGAGGATTGTCGATATGTATACGTCTTGAGAATCGATATGAAGTCTTTGTATGTCACCGGGTCCCTATCTATTGAATCAAAGACCCATGCCATGCTCCTCCCGACATCGACGCCTATACAAATCCAGTGGTTGTTGCATGGATTTAATCGTAGAACTAGATAAGCTCTTTTGCATTGAATAAAATATATCAAACAAAGCTTTAAGTATAGAGTTGAACTTACTCGAAGTTGTATGGTAGCCATATAGTAGAGTGTTGTTGGAGAATTTTAAAAGCCAGGGCAATGTATGCCGAAACCTTAAGGGACTCTTCCCTTAGTTTCTTCGTACGGATGTGCTCTTTCTCCCGAAGGGTCTTTCCAGCAGCTAGCTCTTTGTCATCCAGTTTCCACTGTTTAGGGTAATTAAAATTTGTTTGTGCTATAGCTTGAGGGTCATATACCCGGCTTTCACACTTGGCATTTGTTTTACAATGTGCACTTGCATTCTACAAATCACGGCGTGGGTTAGTTACAACAAAATTCAAAGATTACATTCATATCATATCGGGAGGACAAGGACTTACAGGCACCACGTGCGAATTAGATTCATCTCCATTGCTCCGAGGTGAAAGCATGTCTGCATGTCATTGAAGTCAAAGACAATTTTCCCGGTTGGGCTTCCAAATGTGTCAGTGGGGAAGCATGCTTGTACGAGGTCTATGCTCGTTGGGAGAACACGCAAGTACCAATCATGGAACCTTCTCATTCCAAGTGGTAGGCACTGGATGTCCCGGTTTGGTAGGAAGGGCTTGCCTCTTTCATATGATTTCGGGCAATCCTTTGACCATTTGATGGCATCAACATTTGGATACTACTTTGCTGTTTGGTGGAGTTTGCTAGTGACGGCCTCCTCAGAAGCCCATGATGGGACTTTTTTAACTTGTTTCTCAGGCTTGAACTGGTCATGGGAATACCACTTGTGCACCAACGAGATGTCTTTCATTGGAACATAAATTGGTCTTATGGTTATTGGATGCTTCTTTTGAAGTTCCCATTCAGGCACGTTCTCATCTTCTTGTGCATCACCTTCTTCAGGAGGCACTCGTTGTTCATGTATCAGCTGTGCTTGTTGAGAGGATTGTGGCATCTCATCATGCACTTGCTTGGTACGAGCTGGAGAAGGTTGTGGCTTATCAGGCACATGCTCGTTAGGAGGTGGGGAAGAATGTGGCATCTCAGGAATGTGGTGGTCACGAGACGGTGAAAATATCTCCCCGACCTCAACAACTCGCTCCAAATTTGAGAGAGGGGGATGCGGTGAAGAAGCAGTCAATATAATGTCCCATTTGTGTCAGAGGATGAACTGTCCCATTACGTCTCCGAGTAACACCAGCCCCTCGGGAGTTGTGTAGTCTATCCTCCACTGCATGAACTCGGGCTTCACGGTATACACCTCGACCCTAGTATAGTCCGGCAGTATCTTATTATTGTGGTGTAAGCCACCGGGAGGATGTGCCACACCCATTGCCACCTCCATCACAATGTTCTGCCGTCCGCTGAGAAACACCAAGGTGCAACTAGTTGGTTCCCGTATGCGATCGACGGGGGTTGTGGCTGCAGTGGAACCTTGGCTGCTAGGAACTTTCGGAGGGCTGCCAACTAATGCTAGTTCTCCCGATGGCGTCATTAATATCCGTGGCTCTGTTGACAGTCCTTGCTCCTCCAGCGCCTTCACAACTAGAGCCTTCACTTGGAGCTCAAGATTAGTCTCCCGATCTCTGCCATGTTTCTTGTACATATGCCTGTCCTCTTCGAATCCTTGCTTCCAGGTCGTCCTTTTCCCTAGCACCCTGGTGCGGCCTGTGTGCTCCTTGTTTTCTAAGCCAAGGCTAAGCTTGTCCCTCTTTCTAGAAGGATTGAATGAGCCCTTCTCCTTGTCTTCAGCATATTTCAGTATCCTTGATACTGCCTCTTGGGTCTCCGGCTTATCAAACTTAAGATTACCGCCGGATGATTCTGTACTCCTCGCATATATCCAATTCCTTGAGCGTACCTTCAAATTCGTCACATCGATATTCCTAGCAGCTATGGCCTCTTCGTCCATCTTCCTAAACTGCTTTTCCGTGGCATAGTAGCCACCGGGGCCTAGATGATGGTGGTGTTTGTTCCTCTTCGCCAGCTCGGTGTTACGGGCACTGAGCTCCAATGCCTCCGGTGAAGTCTTCTGAGCCACGAGCTCCTCTCATTGACTAGGAGTTATGTTGTCGAACTCGTTGAAGGGAGTTAACCCCTTTTGGATATATTTCTTGTTGAGCTCCGACCTCCAACGTTAGAATGACTCTCCTATCATCCTAAAAGCATTTTTTACCAGTTCATGCTTACCCTCCGGAAATCTAAAATTGAGCTTCAACTGCCTATCCCATAGTTCATTTTTATTCTCAGGTACCTCTTTTCAGTTAGGGATTGCTGGGTTCAATTTATCTCTTACTAGGGCCCCGATCGCATTACGGAATCGTCCTCTTAATTCCTTTGGCTCAAGGATCTCCCCTGCTGGCCCAACCTCCGTTATCACATAGTATGCCTTATCTGGATATTGATTTGCTTTTATATCCCCTCGTTTCCTCTTAGGCTTGGTAGTCATGGTTGTGTCTTGAGGTTGTGGAGCAGAGGCATCAATGTCCGTCCCTGTGGCTGTTACCTCTGCTCTTCTTTCCTCTACTCCGTCTTGTCCAGCGAGATGTCGTGGACGTTGACATCGTCTTTTCCGGGTTTCAGGAGGGACCTGTATATACGACAGGTCAAAGTGTTAGCAGAGGTAACACAACCAAAGCTTTAGCAAAATTTACAAGCTAAGGCTTTTTCCCTACCTTCTCGTTTGGGTCAAAATCCTTGTCCAAATGTTCCTCCGTTGGCCTCCTTCTGGCTTCACGTGAAAAAGGATCCTCGGGACTTACATATCCCTCTTCTGAGTCCCCATCATCATCATCATCATCATCTTCTTCTTCTTCGCCTTCAGCAACCTCTCCTGCTCTTCCTTCTGCTCCCCCTTCCTCCTCGTCACACTGCTCTTGAGTAAGCGTCACTTCTAGATTCTTTTCTAACTTGTTATCGAACTGCTCCTGAGTAAGCTGGTCCTCTAGTGCTTGCTGCTCATAGGTTAGCTCCTCATCATGCTCGGGGCATTGGGCTGCACTGTCTGGTGTCCGCGACATTATTTCGCGCTTTGTTCTAATAGATGCAAGAAAGTGTGCTTTAGGTACGTGAAAAAGTATAAGAAATAAAAAAGGTCTATAAACCAAAGTAGTCCTATAAAACAACAATATATCAAAGAAACGAGTAATAGCAGTAGTAGAGGCCTCAGAAACATGTCACTCATCATTTGATTATGAACTTAGAGCATCAAGGCATCATAACACAGAATAGAGAAGGTAATGTAGGGGTGGCTGGTAATGATGCCAAGTTCCTCACAAGTTCTTGATCATCAGCTGATATTCTATATAATGTATGGACTTAGACAATTTCATCATCGGCAAAACAAAGGAGAGGAGAGGAGAGGGGAGATTTGGCAAAAAAAGCAACAGCTGCTTAACAAACATAGAGAGAAAAATGTGTAAAAAAAGCAGTTGCTGCTTCCCAAACATAGAGGATAGGAAAGGTGGAAAAAAAACAACAACCGCTTATAATTAGGGGGCCATTCGAGCTTACCGTGCACACAAGCTAGGAAGATTCTAAGTCGGACAAATATTATTTGCATTTTATTTTACTACAGATACTTCAGTGGCATACTGCAAACCTCTTTTACAGCATTGAAGTAGAGTAGAGAAAGGACATATTTGAATAACTACACCATCTGTACTAGACAGTAGGCTGCCGTACTGGCACAATACAGTCTGAGGCTGAGGGTTTGGATCAGAAGATGAAGATGCAGCAACAAGAACTAGAACAAAAGCTTAAGGAATTGGAGAATTTCCGCTCAAGCTTCCAGGAGGAGCATGAAAAGCGCATGCAGGCTGAAAGTGCTCTACTTTCCCAGGGGAAGGAACTTGCTCAATCTCATGAAGAAGTACAGAGGATGGCTATAGAAATAAAGGCAGCGAATGAAAAGTTGAATGAGCTCAAGCAGACCAAGGAGGTCCTTGAGGTCCTGTTTATGAGCTGAAGAAGGATGTTGAGCGCCTTACAGAACAAAACCAGTCCTCTGAGGTGCTTATACAGAAACTTGGTGACGAGATAAATACACTCAAGGATTCAAAGAATGAACTTCAAAGTGAAATACAAAGCCTTAAGAGCATCATTTCACAGCTAAACACTGAGAAGAATGCAGCTGTGCTTCAACACCAGCAATCTGTGGAGTAGGTTTCGGTACTCGAATCTCAGCTGTCAAAGCTGCAGTCAGAGCTAGATGAGACTAATCAGAAAGTACAGTTGCTGACACAAGATCTTGAAAAGAAGAAAGAAGAAGCGGACAGTGTCCATTTCAAGCTGCAAGATGAATGCCATAGGCGTATGCAAATTGAAGCAACTCTTCTAATGACAGAGGGTCTGCATTCCCGGTTGCAAGAAGAAATGAGAACGCTGACACAAGATCTTGATGGATCAAAAAAGAAGCTTAGTGAGCTGGAAAATAATAAGTTAGACCTGGAGAGCACACTGAAAGAACTGAAGAACACCATTTTAGGTTTGAACTCGGAGAAGGATGCAACACTCCTTCAGCAATAGCAGTCTCTAGAGAAAGTATCTGATTTGGAGTTAGAACTCTCAAAGATGCAGTTGGAAATGGAGAAGTCTGAACAAAAAACTCTCTTATTGGAGCAAGAAATTGCACGGAAGAATGAAAGTGTCGACAGCCTGGAGATAAGTTTGAAAGATGAATGTGAGAAGAGGCTACAAGCCCAAACATCGCTTGTGTCATTGGAGAAAATGTATTCCCAGTCACAGGAAGACGTTAGTAGGTTGCAGATAGAGATTGAGAAGCAGAATGGCAAGTTGAATGAGTTGGAGAACTTGTCATCTGAACTTAACAACACCATCCTACTTATAAACACTGAGAAAAGATGCTACCCTCCATGAGAACCAGCAGTCCTCAGCGAGAATATCGAATCTTGAATCTGAACTCTTGGCCTTGAAAACTGAACTGGAGAATGTTGAAGGGAAAGTTCAGATGATATTCTAACATACATGATATTCATTACTATGGCATATTAGGGAAATTACGGTCAGACTGTCGATGTCCTTTCCCCTAATTTTTTTACTGTGGCGTATCATGGAAATTATGGTCAACGTGTATCATAGGCCGTTGATATCCTTTGCCCTAATTCATCTATTTGAAGTATTGGTTTGCCAACAGAAGAAGCATAGGTACGTTGCTGCTTATGATTTATGAAAACTTTTAAAACTATGTTAGCATCACTATAATATTGCCAACCAGATGTATTGTGCTTGTGGTTATGCAACAATATTGACAGATACTCTTAGAGACCATCTGTTGAGGTTACCTCATCTTGCTTTCCTTAGCAAGATTTTGGTTTTTGAGTATTCATTAAATGAACTACCTAAGTTAAGATATATGGAGTTGTACACAATTTACTTTTACAGTGTTCCATTTCATGGTTCATGGATGGTCAATGATTAAGTTTAAGCTATCGGGATCTATGTACATGATAGATAGTTTGAGATGAACAGCCTTCTCTAGATGATATTGGTTAGCTAAACAATCTGGATTTTTGTTCAAGTAACCGTATTGTGAGGCTACTAATCCGGGTGTAATAGATTTGTGCACACGTTAGTTTTGTAGTGTGTCCATTTTGTGGTTCATGGATGGTCTGTACATGATCTACAGTTTGAGATGAACAGATTTCTGTAGATAATATTAACCAATTAACAATCTGGATCATTTCTTTCTTGAACTGTCTTGCATTTCTTACAGAGACATTTTATTTGTATATATGTTCTGCAGCTGAAACAGCCCCAAGACCTTCTAATGTAAGAAGGGACAGCTAAGAGACTGGCTACTAGGAATACCCGCATAAAGCCTACTAGAAAATAAACCATCATCTAACTAAGGAGCCCATGAACCCAAAGATTCGAATGGCTGGCCGTAAATGGGTTCCATGGCTGACTTGGCACCAAATAGTTTTTGGGATGTATATTGTAGCACGCCACTAGCTGCCTGATTGCTGAGTCAGTCAGATGGCTCTTGATCTACATGGAAAGAGAAATGAGGGATGGATGGTGTATTCAAAGCGAGAGTGAGAGTAAGTGTGCACTAGTTGTGAGTTTGAGGAAGGTCGAAGACGAGCCACACGCCCACACAAGCACCACGACACACATGGACTCGGACTGCCATGTCATGACATGAGTGGTGGGGCACCAGCAAAGGTTTTTCAGCTCGAAACTCAGCGAAAGCGAGTCTGAGGGACCAAGGGGAATATAATGAGGGGTGGACAGACTCAAAGCAAAAGTAAGTGACGGACAGATGGACAGAAAAAGAAAGAGAGACTTTAGGTGAAAAGGAATTGTAAAATGACTTCTACAAAATTAGATAGAGACAAGAATATAATTGCAAAATTAGATACCGTAAATTTCTACAAAATTAGATAGAGACAAGAATATAGCGTAGAAAACAACACAAAACCAACCGGTTTGCATAATCATTTTACATGGAATAGCTACCAAAACTCATAATCAAACATAATTGCAAAATGACTTCTCAATCTGAAAATAAAAGATGAACCACACACGGCCCCAATTTAGAATAGGGCGTTAATTTGTCATCATTGAATAAATAACCTTAATTATTTGGCATAATCATGACAGCTGGTCAGCTACTAAATTCAAGTTGGTTCAAAGTCCATACAGCACTTAAATCTAAAAACAGTATGCACACCACAACTAAATGCACAGTATGTTCTATAGAATGGATAAGAATTTGATAATTTTTTAGCTGCTCACCCATAATTGCAAAAAGTAAAAATTCTTGCACAAATAATTTTTTAGCTGCTGATCCATAATTCGGTGGAAAAATTTATCTGTCAAGCAAGCCTAAAGAGGCTGGTGGTAGAGGCCCCAAAACTACCAATAAGGCAAACATGCTCATTCAGCTAGGAAAAATAACGGCAACAAAAAACTAGAGCTACTAAAAAAGTTAACAACGTTTTCCTTTCTGAGAGGGTGAGAGGCATAAAACTAACTAAAGAATTGGTCCTCCCAAGTTACATTGATGTCTACAGATTGGTTCAGAGACAACAGCTATGATTCTATATAACAGATTGAATCAGATTGAAGCGGTAGAAAAATAAGAAATATTGCTATACCTTACCAATTTGCTGTAGAGGAGCGCGGACGCCGGTGGAGCTGCGCAGACGCCGGTGGACGCTAGGGAAGGAGCGCGGACGCCGGAGAGCTCGGGCACCGTGGCCGCTCGCCGGGGGAGGGAGCACGGACGCCGGAGCGCACGAGCACCTGGGCCACGGGAGAGCGGGGAGCAGGCCCGCGGCACCTCAAGGTCGGAAACGAGGCGGCAGCGGACCGGGTTGTGGATGTGGACGGCACGGAGATGGGGAGGAGGCAGCGGGTCGGCCGACCGGGGGCTCTAAAACCCTAGCCACCGTGGAGATGGGGCGCGCGGCGGCGTGGCGGCCCAGGGATGTTGAGCTGTGGGCCGGGGGTGCGGAGAGGGGGCACCGGCGTCGGGAGAGGTCCAGGAGGCGGCGGCGACGGGGCGCCGGGGAAAAAGTTGGGCAGCCTGACGGCGTCGGGAGGAAGAAGAGAGCGCCCAACACTTGTTCACTCGAGCGCCCGTACTTATATACCCAGGACGATTTGTAGGGGCGGTTCCTGATCTAGCCGCCCCTACAAATATTTTCCATTTTATGAAATTATAAATTCTGTATTTTTTATATCACAAAAACACAAAGTAAATGTATTATTCTATATAATATTTTGTATTATTCTATATATGCACAAATATATATAAAAACAATTTGCTGATATTTAAAACAATATAGAAAACAAAAAAAATTAAAAATTAAAAATTTGAATTTTAAAACTTCAACTATAATTTTAGGACATTAAATGACCTAAAATGAAAATGTTGTAAATATAAAAGTTGTACAACTAATCAAGATGTACAACTTTTATTTTGATCATCTTGTCATGTGATGAACTTTGAACGATTAAAAATTTCAATTTTCGAAAATGACAATTTCAAACAAGATTTTGAAACACTAAATGATTTCAGCTGAAAAACTCATGAATACCAAAGTTGTAGAACTCATCAAGATGTACAACTTATATTTTGGTAATCTTTTCATTGGACCAAATTTGAACAGTTCAAATTTTGAACTTCAATAAATATTAACTTCAAATAAGATTTTGAAACCTTAAATGGTTTCAAATAAGAAAGTCATGAACATAAAAGTTGTTGAACTCATCACAATCTACAACTTTTATTTTGGTCACTTCTTCATTTGATAAAGTATTAGAACACATTGTTCACAAATTCACATATCATTCATAGTTTCATGAACTATACGAGAGACATGTTGATTTGTGAAAAAAAGTTTACTATCACTTTATCAGATGAAGAAATGACCAAAATAAAAGTTGTAGATCTTGATGAGTTATACAACTTTGGTATTCATCACTTTTTCAGCTGAAATCATTTGGTATTTCAAAATCTTGTTAGAACCTGTCATTTTTTTAAAATTTGAAATTTTGAATTGCTCAAACTTTGTCAAATAAAAAGAATGACCAAATCAACACAGTAACTTGATAGGGCTTGATTTTAGAAAATTTTAGAAAAAAATCATCAAATTTGAAGTTAGTATGAGGGAGAAAGACTAGTTATAAATTTTACCGAGAGATTAAAAAGAAAAATCACAACAGTTCATGATGATTAATGATGAATAAGTGTGATTTCTCTTTTTAATCTGTGGCTGAAACTTGTAACTAGTTTTTCTCCCTCATACTAACTCCAAATGTGATGGTTTTTTTCTAAAATTTTCTAAAATCATGCTCTATCATTTTAGTCTAGTCATCTATCTTTGTCACTAATTTTAAACAGTTCAAATTTTGAATTTCAGAAAATGACAGCTTCAAACCTAATTTTCAACCACTAAATAATTTCAGCTGTAAAGGTGATGAATATAAAAATTGTATAACTTGTCGAAATCTCCTACTTTTATTTTGGCAATTTCTTTATTTTATAAAGTGTTAAGTGATTTCATAAAGTTTTAGTAGTAATAGAGTGGATGTTGAAATAGATTCATCTGGATGTTGCTAAGGGTAGTCTCACACACATGCATAAATGTAGTCTCACACACATACATAAATATATAGTCTTACAAACATACATAAATATATAGTCTCACGCGCATTGATATGAACCCGCTAGGGTGAATCTCGATCTTTCGATGAGAGAAGGTGAATAACTTGATTTGGGGATGGAGATGACGTTCATGGCCTGACTACAGCCTTCCAAGCTACGCCTTAGCAAAGATACACCACCTCCAACGGCCGTCGCGATCTTGTGGAGCACGATCAACCAAACCACTAGGGTAATTCCTGCAAGCAATCGAGGAACAAGCAATAACAAGTAGAACAAGCAACTCAATTGCAAATATGGAGATGAAAAACCAATCTGAATTCATAAAGTTGGGGTTCTGAATCAAGTAGAACGGATGGTCTAGTCAACACACGTGTCTACAAGGAAGTAGCAA